GCCGGGAGCAGCGGCCGACCCCTCTTCTCCTCCTCTTTCTTATTTTCTCTGCCTCGGGATTTTGGCTCCTGCTTTGCAAAACTCCCCCTTTTTTTTCCTCCCCCCCTCCCCGCCTTTTTTCCCTTTTTCCTTCCCCTTCCTCCCCTCCCTCCCACCAAAAAAAAAAAAAAAAATCACCTCACTTCTTAGAGGCGGGTTTAGAAAGGAGATTTCCGTATTCTGCCTGAAATCAGCCCCGTTTTGCTCTATTTTTGTCACACCAAATAACCGGCTCGACGCATGTCAGACTTAACGGATTTCTTCTCTCGCAAGGAGAGCTGGTTGACAGCTCAGCAAGGGACCGCCCGCTTCGGGCAATGCTTTTACCAACAGGTGGGACGGTGCCATCTTTTCTTTGCTGTGGGGCACTTTGTCATAAAATAATCCCTGTCACTAGGTTATGCAAGGTGTTGCGGTGCAAGGGCAGAAACAGGGGAAGAGCATTTTCCTTGCTGTCTTTCTCATCTCCAAAGGTGTCTGGCTGCTCTCCATGGCCAGGCAGTTGTGACCCACAGCTTTTCCTGGCGATCGATACCTTTTCTTGTGACCATTTGGCATTAATAAGTGGAAGGCTTACTAATCCTTTCTGTAGAGGCACTGGCTGATTCCAAGCAGATTTCACGTATGAATGTTTTAAGGTACAGACTGTGCTCCCTAAATTACAGCATTCTCTTGCGGGATCAAATCTGAGGACTTCCCGCAGCTCAGACTTTTATTTCTCACGTCTTCCAGTAGCACCATGTTCTGACCTGGTCTGGAAAAGCAGGGGAAGGTTAACCAACCCACATGGTTAACCACTGAATGTCTTATTTCAAAATGCTTAATTTGCTCTCTAGCCAGCTATCGTATCTCGTTGCTGAAGGATGGCATAGGATAAGAGACCACCTCCTTCAGTGAAAGCAAGAGGTGCCTCCAGTTGTGCTTCTGTCCAGCCCCAGTCATATTTTAGAGCAGGCACAGACAAGGGGGCTCTGTTTTTGCCTGCTGCCATTAGCCTGAAGGAGCTGACAACAGTGAATACCTAAAAAATCCTTGTTCCTCTCCTTTCCTCTACCCATGGACCCTACAGAGGCAATAGGAACAGAGACTGAAGTGAAAGAACGTGCATCGCTTCTATAGCAGTGAGAATTGCTCTGTGCTGCCTTTGTGCCAAGGCTTTCCCTGTTTCTGCCTGGTCTTGCTGCTGCACAAGGACTTCAGCCTCTTAAACAGTCTTCTCCTGTGGCGCAGGGTGATGGAAGTCAGAAATGAAAGGAATGTTTTCCTAAGACTTGCTAGTTTTATTTGGTTTAGTTCAAAATAGACCTCTGACAAGGATAATAATAAATGTCAGCAAGGCGCGACATTAAGGTAGACCTGAAGCTCATTGCTTGCGATGTGGGAAAAGTTTACCATGATGCTTTCTGTGCTGAGTTCTTTGAATTTCAGGATTTTAATTCTGTAGTCATGTCTGCAGAGCACATTGGGTGCTTTAACCTTTGTAGTGCTAAGGGTGTTCCCCCTGTAGCCTGCCTTTCCCTTGGAATCACACACCTGGAGGCTCCTGTCCTGGTGATACCCAAGGGCTCTTATCCTCAGGGCCTTGCACAGATGCAATCTGATGAGCTTTGCTGGCAGTTATGTCTGGTTTCTCCTAAAAATTGCTTACCATGGCTAAGTGAATCATCCTTTCTCACCGTATTTTTTTACCCTTTGCCTTGTAGCTTTTAGTTTATAACTTTAGAGCCTACTGGATAATACAGCAGATAAATAACTTACATATCCTATAAATAGTGCTTGTACGTGACATGAGCATGGAGCATGCAATTCCTGCACCTCATCAAGTGTGCTCCAGCCAGTGCTAACATCATCTCAGGCAGGAGCAACCAGGGACGTAGGTGGCTTTTGATGAAAGCTGTGTTGTTACTGATGGAAAATGGGGCTGTGGACTCCCTGCTCCGCTGGGGAGGATGGCCAGAAGAGGACAATTTCTGGAAGACCCCATTGCTTCTGCTCCTGGGCTGGCCATTGGGAAGATGGTTTTCCTTCTCTCTTTTTTTGCCCCTTTTCCTCTCCTTTTTTTTTGGTTGTGGTTTTGTTTGTTCGGTTTTGTTTTGATTTGATTTTGGTTGGTTGTTTTTTTTGTTTTGGGTTGGGTTTTCTGGTTGTTTCCTCTCCCCCAAAATAGCTTTGAGGTCCATGCATGTAATAAATTGTGGGTTCAGCTAAAAAAAAAAAAAAAATCCGTGTGCATATAAGCCTGTCTCAGCTTTCTTTGTGCACCATCCTTTGCAGAATCATCCTATAAGCAAAATGAATCCATGCTGATTTATAGGAAGAAACCTTGCCAGCAAATCATTTACCTGTTCAGTCTGGAGGGTTTGGGGCTTGGTGACGTGAAATGTTGAGCGGTGCGATAGAGACTTCTGTACCAATTGCTGCATTCTGAAAGGGAAGTGTATGTAAGACCACCCAATAGAAAGAGTATAGAGGAATTTAGTGTTAAAGTTGTACTTAAAGAACTCCAAATGCAATGAAGTTAGAAATTACATCTAAAGACACAAACTCTTAGCAGCAGTGAAACTCATGGACCCTTGTCATGAATGTACATCCCTGCCTTTGTGGATTTTTTTCAGATCATCACTTCTCCCCCTTTTGCATTGTGTAAATCTTTTTATCAGAAAGCACAATCAAGGCAGGTGAACAGAAGGAGGTAAGGTAGATAACATGGCAGAATATGTTTAATTTAGGTGCAATTCTGAGACACCTCGAATTTATTTTTTCTTTGATCCTGTTGCATGATGTATCTATTGGTCTCTGCTTTTCTGTTAGTAAGTGAAGTGTCATTTTGCTATGCATTATTTGAATTTTCAGGCTACAGTTCTGAAGCAAGGGCTCTAATTATGAAAGTCAGGTGCTTCTAAGCTTTATTTGTTCAGAAATCCTATAGTACTGTCCCTACACCAGACCTGGGGTCACGTCAGTTGTCGTGCTGGTCTGGCGGAGGAGAAAGAGGAGAGAGATGCTTTCAAGTCTGGGATTCCATATGTAGAAGAAAATCCCAATGGAAGTCAGGCTGGCTGTCAAATCTGTATTGACTAGCTCTGCATGGCAATAAATTGCTGCTTTGATTTGTTATCCCCTAAAGATTTGCCATGTTTAGTGAATTTAATCTTCTGCAATGTAGATCTCTCCCAGTCATCTTTGTGGAACCACTATGCAGTGGTTCAGGGTCTCCAAGCAGTCTGCAGACTTCAGTTTGAAAATCATTGGGTATAAAGATCTATTATTGCTTTTCAGCTGTAATTTATCATGTAGCTGTTGGATTATGTGAATTACTTCAACATTTCCACTTCTGGTAGCAGTTCAGAAGCAAGACCCAGCAGCATCTCTTGCTCTGTTCCTTCTGCAGAGTAAAATCCTGTACAGATGTAAATTGGTGAATCCTAATGATCTTCCTGTTAATAGCAGCTGAAGATCTAGTTCTGTAGATCCAGTGACTGTGCTGAGAGGGACTGTAGCTCTGCTGTGAGTCAGGGGGTCGGACTGTAGCCCTCCACAAACTATTCTACTTTATAATTCTATATAGAAGAAGATTGCAAAGCTGAAGAACACAGAGATGTCTAAGAAGACGGAGAGGGCCACTGGGCAACAGAGAGAAAGGAGTAAGAAAACGTACTACAATTGATTATCTTAGGGTAAGACAATCTTCAAGCTTTGCAGTGAAATTTTACTGTTAGAAAGTAGGAGGGATCCACCGCAAAGCCTGGTTTTTTGAAAGGAATTTAATTTGCAAATTCATTAAATATTTTTGCTTGTTCAGTGTCCTAACTGAAGGTTGAGTGCTCTATGCCCAAAACTTGATTCAAAGCCATGACTTCTTTTGACCTGTAGAGATAAAGATATATATTATTGGTAACTCTCAGTGTTATCTGATGGTCATAGTCCATCAGGTGACTGCTCCACAATAGGAATGTATTATTGCTATTGAAATTGGTGGTTATTTTATATACAAAAAGCTTTACCAGTCAGCCTGTGGGAGTTCACACTTCAGACCCAATGACTTTAAGCCATGGATAATCTCCACAGGGCTGGCTACATGTGCAAATGCTGGGCTTAAATGGTATATTTGCCTGAGTATGCTCTCCCTCTGTAGGAACAAACTGGTAAGGAGGTAGGTGTATTTCGGAATTGACTCTTGTACCCGTTAGATGACATAGAGGTAAAGTCCACACACAGACCTCCTCATGTGGATATTTTGCATAGAAAAGTGTGTAATAACTTAATGACAAGTCATTGGAAGGTGCCTAGCAAAAACAAAAAAACCCCAGTGCTAGCACCTTCTTGCAGCACAGCCTGTAATGCTGTCAAGGCTTTATTCTTGCTGCACTTGTTCTAGGATTTTTTTGGCTCCTGGTGCAAAAACGAGCCACGATGACAAGAGGAGGATGGACTCTTTGGTGGCCAAGTAGGTGAAAGGCTGCATTTGTGGCACAGTGTAGCTTTAATGGCACAAAGAGCTTGTGTAAGGGACATAAAAGCCTTGAGTTTAACCGGGTAGCCATGAGATGGGGGGGCGGGGGAAAGGTGAGAAACACGACAGGAAAGAAAGCATGGAA